AAAATGATTTGTAGAGTAAGCTAAACAAACATTATTCAAATTTATCAAAATTCAAATGGAATTAGAATACACAAAACTTTTTTCAATGCATATTTCAAAGTACTAATAATGGAGCCCGAGTTAGCCAATAACGCCGTTAGCCACAAATAATACTTTCTCTAATATTTATGGAAATTTTTGTTCGCAATCGTAGTCGGATGAACGATTGTTTTTATCGAATTTAATTTAATCGTGGTTAATTTTATCGTCTTCAATCATATTCTTGTAAGCATTTTCCATTTATAGTAATTCAGATGCAATTAGAATGTTTTTGTCGTATTACTCTATGCTGCTAGCATAAATATAAAATATTGTACTAAGATTTTGAAGATAAAGAATCGGTAATAAGGCCGGCCTTAATTCAATATAACAAGAAGGGAAATACCACGGTCACATATACTGGTGTGGGACATTTTTTTTCGAATCGAATCTCGAATCAAAACTTTTCGAATTGAATCTTTCCGAATCTGATTCCATTAAGCTTTTTTTTTTATTACATGCGTATGTTTGCCCAAAGTCACAAAAAAGCTCAAATCTAGAAGAAAAAAATTTGAAAATGGAATAGGCTATATAGCAAGGATGATAAGGGTTTTTCAGTGAATAAGCCACACTTATTTTCATCATGATAAAAAAGATGTAGGTCATAGATATCACTAATAAATGCATTGATGAAAAACTTGCTGTTGCAACTATTAGTAGGCCTACTCAAAGAATCTTGGCATCCTTAAATGTGTAGGAAAATGATTTGTAGAGTAAGCTAAACAAACATTATTCAAATTTATCAAAATTCAAATGGAATTAGAATACACAAAACTTTTTTTAATGCATATTTCAAAGTACTAACCGCATCGAAATAGCATTCCAAAGTTTTTTACATGACGAGACACTTTGCACGTGAATACGTAAAGAAAAAATTAAAGTTCAGTAAAACCAGTTCAACTCGTTGCGATATAAACATTCCCAAGTTTCTACAGCGCATTGCCAAAACAAATTGAAAACCGGAGTTTTATCGCCCCTATCACTTGCAGTCTCGTTTTTTCATAACTGCCCATTCTGATTCATCGACTAAAAATCACATGCTTGTTTGTATTAACAAGTAAAATTGTTATGTTTGTAATTAGAATGAATTCGATGTGGGGAAAGTGAACAAGCAGGTGGTCAAGTGCAACACATATTCAATGGGCACAACTACGAAAAAACCATACAAATAAAAGTTATAACAATGAAATTAAAAATATTTTTAAATTTTTATATTCGAAAAGTATATCTTTAAAATTATATGACAAAACTTTAATTATTTTATTATTATTGAATTTTGATCAAATCAAGGATGCCATTAAACAACTTCCCTCTTAATTTTTTCCAACAAAAAATTATAAAGTGATAAAATAACACAGTCATATAAAACGTATATTTAAGTAGAATAGTTAGCTCGAGTACAAAATCATTATTATATCATGAAA